GAAGGGGCTGTCCTCGTCAATCTCGTGGACGATGGTGATTGGGGAGACCAGGAAGATGCGGTCGACTCCGCTGTCAAAGCCCACATCTATGTCCATCTGGTCAAGGGGGATGTACTCTCCCTCCGCTGTCGTCCGGGATTTCAGAAGTTGCGCCCGCACATGCGCCTCTACCAGGTGGCTCTTCCTTAAATTGCCCACACGCCACATCAGGCAGAGCTTGTTGTCCCTCATGGCCACCGTGGCATTATGGCTGAAAACCAAAGTTTCATTCCTCTTCTTGGGCTTTGCCATTTTTGCCATGACAGCACCAATTATGAAAGCATCAATAATGCAGCCCACAATGCTTTGGAAAACCACCATGAAGACAGCAACAGGGCACTCGTCTGTCACGTATCTGTAGCCGTAACCAATAGTTGTTTGAGTCTCAATGGAGAACAGGAAGGCAGCGGTGAAACTGCTCACGTTGGAGACACACTTCTGGGTGTCACTCTCTAAGTCCCCATGGAAGATGGCCACCAGCCAGAAGACGCAGCCGAAGAACAGCCACGACAGGAGAAAGGCTAGGCAGAAGATGATGAACATCCACCTCCAGCGGATGTCCACACATGTAGTGAAGATGTCAGCCAAGTACCGCTGACCTTTCTCGCTCACATTGATGAACTGCACATTGCAGTGACCGTCTTTCTTTACAAATCTGCTCTGCGGCTGGTGCCTCGTGTGCACCTTGCTCTTGCCATTGCCGTAGCCGTTGGGTACTGCCATAGTGGCAAGCTTCATGCCGTCCTCCTCTGATGACACAATGCTGTAGCGGCTGGCTCGCACGCTTCCCATCACCTCAGTCTGGGAGGGTTGTGCTGCTTCTGCTTTGGAAAACAGTCTGAGTTTCTGGAAGAAGCGTTGGAGAAACAGTTTTGAAACACTTTTGGGGGACCAACTCAGAGACGAAATGGTGACAAAATGAGGCGGGCTGAAGGACGCCTCTTCAGCCTCACTGGCCCCTAGATGGAGTGCAACAAGAGGAGGATGAAGTGGTCACTCCTCTTTCTTCATCTGACTGGACCTCATCAAGTTCATCTGCTACAAGAAAACAGAAACAGAGGATGTCCGTTAGAGAAACCAGTTCCAGATAAATCAGATACACTTTATCAAATCACAATCAGGGCTATTAATGACAATATCATCAAAAGAATAAAAGAATGCTTCAACATTTGAGCAGTTACTTGTTCAACATAAGCTATCAGTAACTTGTCAGAGCTGATAACTTCATCCCTGCTGAGGCAGATGTGCGTGCAGCCTGAGAAAAACCATCAAAAACTTTATACCAAGAGTAAGAAAAGCTCGTCTCCCTGTGCCAACAATATTTCATCCAGTTATGACAAACAACAACAGTGATATTTAACCCTGATCTAACATTTCAACTTCCACTGAGAGAGGCCACACAGTAATTGCACTCAGGTCCCGTTATTGGTCATTTACAAAGTTGACTTGTTTTTCTTGGCTGCCCTGCACTGACCTGATCATTTCTTGCTGGATTGTGGGTTACAGCGTTTCTGCGAGATCCCATGGACGGATGGTTTTGCACCAGCAATGGATTATGTTAAAAACTTAAACTGAGAAAGTTCAGATCTGCAGATCCTTTTTCTTACTTTATCAACTTCATCTTTAAAATGATATACTGCAGAAGCTGAAAATGCACCATAAGTTAGATAAACTGAACCAAAGCAACATCCAATCATGCATTATTAATGCACATTTTCAGATGTAATGCCTCTTATTATTAAGAAAGATGGAGGAAAATTTGCATGTGCAACTTAATATTTAAGTAAATTATCAGCATCCACCTTCTAGAATTACTATCATTGCAAATAACACTTTATGGAGCAGTTTCATGCATAAACAACTGCATTTTTTCAACTTTCATCTGTGCAGAACAGATGCAGGTTATATCCTCTTCATCTGTTGTTTCACAGAAGCTTGTGTGAGCTTCATCTTTGTGCAAGAGATGCACAGCTTGTTGACTCTCAGAGTCCTCTGGGATTTTTTCTCTCTGCTGTAATAATGGCTGCGCTCTGAGGATTCTCCCGGCACAACTACAACACCGCTAATTAGTTTTGGCTGTCCTAGCAACAAAGTATAAACCAACCTGCGTACAGTGGTCTCCCTTTTTATTTTTTGCTGGGATGAATTTCTGTCTAAGGCAGGAGAGTTTTAAGATGAGAAAGAAGCTGGTGGTGAAAGTTTCCTCAGGGGTAGAGGGTCAGTCAGTCTCACACTCAGATTAAATATGTAAATACATCTGATGTGACCACAGCTGCAACTCAGACTCTGGTTTCATGTTTGCAAAAAGCAAAAGTGGCTGATGCAATTTGTAAGACTTGTACATAAATACCACATAAAAGAGTTTCAAGTTCCAAAATGACTCCAAGTACCATCCAGTGTACATGCACTGTTCCTAAATACAGAGGAAACTTTATCACTAAGACATGTGTAAGCTTTCCTCGGATGATGCCGGATATGTAAACTGTTTAATAAACATTGCAGCAGGTTTTCATCATTTTCCTAAAATGAATCACATGAAGCTAAATCTGCACTTCTGTTTTCAGAGTAAGTAGAACTCTGAGAGAGAGGGAAACTGAAAGAGAGTGGACAAAAAATCCTAAATAAATAACACAATAATAATGATTATTAATATATTATTATGATCTAGTCTTGAGATGTAAGCAGTTTTATTGAACAGTATCTGACTGTAAGGAGACAGACAGAGCTGCCCTCAGAATGCACCAAATGCCAGGGACAAATGTTAACAGGTGCTGAGGGAAAAAGGGAACTGACTTCTGATGCAATCATCCACACACACACACACACATACATTCTCTCTCTTCTCTCTCTCTCACACACACACACATACACACACACACCCCTCAAACTGAGACACACGTTTCATTTCCAGCTCAGACCATCAGAAAATTAGAACTTTTATCATATAAAGCCCTAAAATATGAAGCGAGACGAAATGTGACCTGATAAAGTGAAACTTTTTGGCGGGTCATCTGACAGCAGCTGTGGCAGCAGAAGTGGTGCGTAAAAGCCAGGAAGTCGGCGCGTCATGGAGAATAAAAGTTGAGGCTATCGGCGCTTAATGAGCGGTCGATTGCCAAAAGATAACGGCTCTGACATTGCGTGGAGGGCTTATTACAGGAATCACATTTATATGAAAGTTTAAGAGGAATGGATCTATCAAAAGGAGAGGCTCAAACTCAGTTTCCTCTACCTGTTGCTCATTTGAAGACCGGCTGGAATCAGCTTGGTGAAATATAATCCAGACGTTTCTTGGCCCCCGCGATCCCCGGCGTCGTTTCCGCGCGCTTGTTATTTATTTTGGCCGAACAAGATCAAGCGTGAAACTTCCCTCATGTCTCTGGAGAACCGGTCTCGAATAATGTGCTTCGCAGTGAGTTCCCCCAAAGCGTTTTTAAACAGCACGCACCGGCACGGCCCGCCCCCAAGCTCCGCGCCCGGCCAATGGAAGAGGGGAGGGGAGAACGCACAGTGCAGCAGGCGCAATTGTAGTGTGTGTGTGTGTGTGTGTGTGTGTGTGTGTGTGTGTGTGTGTGTGTGTGTGTGTGTGTGTGTGTGTATTTGTATGTATGCGCGCGCGTGTGTGTGCGTGTGTCTTCTTTTGTGAGTGTGTGTGATTTTTGTGTTTGAGCGATGCGACTGACAACACAACACAACATGGAAGTAATGGAGAGCAATTTGACACTAATTGGCCGATGACATTGTGAATCTCAGTTACGGGTCAAATAAAACGGGAGGAGGCAAGTCAAGGATTTAAATCAAAACTGAAATAGAAACAAAAATAAATGTAATAAAAGCATTAATTAATTTTTCCCTTATTAAATCTGGACAACATTGGTAGACTTTTGATGTATGTTGAAATGAAAAATGTTTGTATGTAGGTGCAAAAAAGTTCCCCAATAAAGGAAAGTGATCAGCTACAACTTTTAACACCTGTGACACAAGTTTTTTTTTTTTATTCTTTTAAAGCTTCTTTTTTCCCTGAGATCCATCAAACCAATAATTTATCTTCTCACTGCAGAGGCATTACAATTTTGTGCAAAAAAAAAAAAGTGACTGTTCCTGTTCCCACCTGTTGTCGACCGTGTGCAACCCATCACGCTCATTTTTGTGATACCCGTTGTTTTTATAGATCTTATTTTTTAATGTGGGTATGGAAAAAGTGGTCTGTTGGAAAGAATGACTCACTCAATAAAGGCCTACATGCCTGTATTATGATATGACTGTCTTTCTCCACTGAGCTATCAAGTTGCTTCGGATGTTTAGACTATGCATCTGTTGCCCTATAATTTTAGGTCAGGCTGTAGCTGTGTTGTCTTAGTGCCATTGACTAAATCATTCTTCCTGCTTACTAATTCATGATAAACATTAACCCACAACTGCGGGTTTTTCAAAAAGACTTTTGAACTCCTTGTCTCCCCCCCATCCCCCCCGCAGTGAGTCTTATTTTTAGTTGTGGTTATTTATAGCAGCACATATATTTAGCCCAGACCACCTGTGTCAGTGAACTGTGCGCGTTGTGTGTGTTTGCTTTCCATGCCCAATTTCCAGCAATAAAGAGAGCGATGCATGCAGTAGCCCAGTGCTGCGTGTGGACCACAAGGTGGAGAACTGGAGACTGGAATTAACCAGTGATTGTCTCCCACACACAGAGCTGTGCCGTTGAGCGAGCACCAAAACAGCAGCAGGAGGAGGAAGACACTGAATCTGAACTTTCATGCAACTTGTGTCACTGCAGCAACAGCATCTAGAGGTGTAGGATGAAAAATTGCAGCTTACTTACGGAGTACTGATAGTAAAAACAACAAAGATCTCATTTAAAGGTACAATAAGCAAGATTTTGTACCCAGCTATTAGGCTGTTAGATAAGAGTGTGCTTCGATTTAAAAATAAATAAATAAATAAAAAATGCATAGAACATCTTTAATTTTCAGTAGTGGAAGAAGTACAATATCACAGTGTAGAAATACTCTGTTACAAGTAAAATCTTGCATTCCAACTTTCAACTGAAATATTATTATTATAATTATTGATGCATTCATGTATACAGCACTTTAACATTGCATCTGGTAAATGTAGGGCTGTTACTTTAAATCCTGCTGTGTAGCTTCTGAATTTACCGCAATGATCAATAAAGTCTTAACTTATAATAACACATTGGACTTTATATGTTGATCATACTCTGTATTATTCATCAAATACATCAAGTACAGTGGAGTAAAAAGATCAACTTTTCCCACTGAATTAATGAAGTAGCACAGTATAGAGTATAAGTACCTCAAAGTTGTACTAAAGTATAACACCTGGGCAAATCTACCAAGTCACTTGCCACCACTGTCTGTTTAGGTCAAGTCGTCCAACCTAAATGACCAGATCTGTTGTTTGTCATTGTTTTCCAAAAAGACCCATGAGGGCTTTGCAGAAGCTTAACTGGTTTGAGGATTTAAATCAGTGCATCATAATTCCCCTCTATATCTGACAGAACTGTTTAGGTGGACTTCACCACCGACCCATAAAGCAATAATTTGACATTGACAGTGGAGACTGGGAAGTCACAGACCATAAAATGGTAAATTGTCATTTTAACACAATTGAACGCGTTAATCAGTGATCTGTGGAGGTGCTGGTAGGCAGATTTTGTTACCGCTGGACAGATCAAGTGTAGCTGTTTCCCCCGATTTCTACTGTTTGTCCTAAGCCAAGCTAATCATCTGCTAGCTTCATATGCAACAGACAAAAACGAGGGTGGTATCAGTCTTCTTGTCTAACTCAGTAAAGTCTATCTAGCTATTCTTTAGAGGATTGTCTGGTCTGGTTTCTTTGTGGTTAAGGTTTGGTTAAGTTTAAGCAACTGAAATCTTCTTTATTAAAGGTATTCTGTGGAGTTTTGAACTATAATAGAGCTATGGAGCTTCATTCATGACTGGGTCCCCATTTTGTTTTCCTTATGCTCAGTTTTGGAAGCTGGTTGCATGAGTGAGTGGAAGGGGTGAAAACTTACTCAAACTTTATTCATTTTTTTTTATTCAGTTAGTTGCAGTAGTTCATGAAAACGTAGCAAAGATGCTCTATTGTGCTAGTGTGAAAACATCAACATCTGTATTCAGGAAATTAGCCAAACTTTCCACTAAATTTCATTGAAACCTGTTCAGTGTTTGAATCAGTTTGAAAACTAAAAAACAAAAACGGTTTCCTTTTTAAATATGTAAAATGTAACTAGGACTGCAGGATTGTCCATCTTGAATACTGCTTTTGAACACAAAAAGGGTTTGCAGTATTTATACCACTACAACACCTTGAACCAGAGTTTGGATGGAAGGCAGTTATGGGCTGAGCTGTGAACTATTTATTAATACATCATTATTGTGTTGGATCAGGAGGCAGGAGAGGTCAGACAGACCTGGTAAACCCAAACATGGGTGTACTGGGAGCTTTTGCTGGAAGAGACTGTTCATCCAAAAACAAGCTTTGCTCCAGTCCCAGACAAACAGAAAGTCCAAATGTGAAGTCAGGCTTTGTTTAAAAGCTGCTGTGGCCAAAAGTTGGTCAGTGCCAGCATGAAGGCATCGGGGTGAAATATATTTATACATACACTGATACACTGAAGGTTTGTGATATTTTTCAGGGTACTGGGTTGTTTAGGAGGCTGGTCTTTCCACTATCACATGGACTTAAGAAATGTTCCGACTCTTTGGGGTCAGACCTCTTGGCCTTCCTGGAAAATTAATAACTAGATGCTGAAAATGAGACAGGCTAGTGGGTCAACTGATGCATTTAGTAGCCTATTAGCTGACATGGAAACTGTTGGGCTCCTATACCATAAAAACATCTTCCTTTCTTTTCTGCCCCAAAAAACTAATAAACTTAAACAGCTAGTAAACTTAAACAGCTCTGTGGACAGTTTAGTAGTTTTTCCACAGGCCTGGTAGAGCCTGCATTAATCATGTTGTGGGGACCACCACGCTGACATGCATTGCTGCAGTCCTGCTTGGTTGCCAGGCAGACTGCAGGAAACCTAAAAAAGTTTCCTCACTCTAAATTGTGACGGCTCGACATGTTAACCATCGTGCATCAGCCATATGATGGTTAACCTCTCTTTTCCTGTAGCTGTGGTGGAGCTGTGTTAAAGCACCAGTGTGTAAGTTTTAGAGAGATCTACTGTATGCTGTTCATAATGATGTTTTCATTAGTGTATAATCACCTGAAACTAAGAATCATTGTTTTTTGATTAGCTTAGAATGAGACTTTCATATCTAAATAGGGAGACTGGCCTCTTCCCCAAAGCCCGCCATGTTGCACCTCCATGTTTCAACAGTAGCCCAGGACGCACAAACCAAGCACTGGCTCTAGAGAAGGCCTTTTTCATTTTTACGGTTACATTACCTGGAGGCCACCGTAGGTTTTCCTACACTGTAGGAAAGGGTGGGGTGGGTTGGGGGGACGGGGGGTGATTGTTTCTTTTATCCATAGCTGTTCCACAATCTTAACTGCGTTTATTCTTGTGACCATGACAACAAAGGCCCAGTACGTCTGCTACTAGTACACTCCTATGGGTTGTATCCAAGGGTAGAAACAAATGACTTATACCGTCGTTTAGGTTGGAGGCCTTGTTGCCTTTGGTAGATATCACAGCTTTTGTTGTGGCTAAGAGTCTTTCTATTCTTGCTTGCTTAACTTTCACACACCCTTCAGATCACTTCATGTTCGGAGTTATGTTTAGTCTGTTCTGCAGAACCAGTAGGATTCAGATCAACCCACAGACTTTCAGTGATGTTCAGGTCAGGGGGTGGGGTGAAGGGGGCTGTTCCAAAGGCTTCAGCTTTGGTTCTTGAAGTGGTTCATGGTGGATTTTAAGGTTTGCTTTGGATCATTATCCTGTTGTAGAAGCCAGCCACTTTAAAGTTTCACTTTCTTGACTGACTTGCCTCCACAATTTGCTTATATCTAGTGGAATCCATTCTTCCCTCTGTCTGTGCAGAGTTTCCTGTCCCACTGGCTGCCACACAATCCCAAAGCAGAACATTTCCACCCCCATGTTTAACAGCTTGGAAAAGGGGTGGGTATACTGTTACATATTGAGCTGCAGGTGAAGGCACATCATTAACGTAAGCATCTTCACCTCTCCATGCTGTACTATGGATAACCACTTGTGCAGTGACAACACAAGGTCACAGTGTGTTCATGGTGTGTTTGGTATGACAATCCCCACCCCCGCTGAAAACAGCATTATGAGGTTTGTGTCAGGGGGACCGGCTGCAGTCTGTAACAGGGTCAGGAGCCGAGTGAACTTCAAACTCCAGCTGCCGAGTTAATTGATGGACAGATAAAAATCACATTAAATCAACACTGTCATGATCTCGTGCCTGAATAACATCATGAGCTTTGACCTGATCTATTGTGGATATATGATAAAAAGAATACATGTTTGTAATAGGATTACACAGAGAGCAGCAGAGCAGCATGTTACAAAGCAGCGTCTGCTTACTTTTGTCTGTCTGGTTACTTGACATCAAAGTGACCTTCCCCATCAGAGCTTTTGTTCTCAGACAAGAACCATGATCCATCTCAGACAGATGTCTGATGTCGATCATGATTATTACAGGAAGTGAAAACGCAAACCAGAACATCACTTTACTGACACTGGTATTGTCTTATAAGCAATATTGTTTTAATCTTATAAAATCTGCTTAATGATACTATAACAACAAAATTAGAAACACATTTGGTTGGTCTGTTGCAGCAGATCAGGATGTAAAATATTTGAACTGGTTTTTGAAGATCTTGACTTCCTGGTACTAAATAAATGTGATTCCACCACCACAAACATGAAGTAAGCTTAACATTTTCCATGTGTTTCATATAAACTTTGATGACTTCACTCATGAGGGACATTACTGTCATCACCTCTATGACTTCTGGTTATTTACTATGAACAGAGATTTGACTTTAAACTTTACATTAAAACATCTGACCTTTTTAAATAAGTAACATACACACTCTTAAGTTTTGGCCTGCTCATATTTTCTTTTCACACATTATAAAGAATATAAAAACAGTTGACAAAAATCTCAACATAAGATCTATTTACTAACTGTTCTGGATTTTTTTATTGCATAACAATGGTTTCTTTGAAAAAATGGAAAATTAGCACAATGTATTTCAGAATGGCCACTGCAAATATCATGGTTCTGCTTTATACTTCTGTACTTGTGAGGTCATGTGGCAGAGTCAAAGTGTCTTGATGTTGACTCTCTTCTTGAGATGTTGAATCAGTTGGTTCAGGGTGGCTGTCGCTCACAAGTTCCACTGTTACCGTCGGAGGTTTCAAAAGGTTTTCTTGATGATTCTGCTGTTGTGACCTTGGAGAGGGCCGTGGGGAAGATCTGGGTGAGGGCCGTGGGGAAGATCTGGGCGAGGGCCGTGGGGAAGATCTGGGTGAATGCCGTGGGGAATGGCGAGGAGAGGGCCGCAGCTGCTTCTTGTGTTCATACTCCTCAGCGCTGACCTCAGGCACCAGCACCTTAGCAGTGTGATTGAACAGGTTGTAATCCACCCTGTAGTGCCTCCTGCCGACCCTGATCATCTCCTGGAAGAGCTGACCCCAGAGGATTTCCGCTGGAGTGTATGAAGTACGGGTCTGATGCAGCATACCTGTGGAGTCGTCTGTGTAGGTAAACGAAACCACCAGCTCAAAGTCTGCTTTACGCAGATCTATCAAACTCATCTTGTACAGTGGACTACCTGGCTCAATCCTATGGAAGATGGTGGTGGGTGTGACCAGTGTGATGTCCCTCTGTTGGATGACCAGGTCTTCATAGGTTATGTCCACTTTCCCTGTGGCATGCATCGTGGAGCGGACTATCTGAGCACAAGCCGTCCCCTCCACCAGGTGGTGTCTGCGGAAGTCCCCGACTCTCCAGGAAAGACACAGGTAACCATCGCGAAGATTAATGACAGCACAGTTGCTGAAGCCCACGGTCTGTGCTCTTTTTCTGGCTGAGGCCATTTTGGCGACAACAATTCCAATGACAAAGGTGTCGATGAAGCAGCTGATAACATCTTGTATAGTGACGATGATGATGGCAATCATGCAGTTCTCGGACATTCCTCTGAAGCCATAGCCGATGGTGGTCTGAGTTTCGAGCGAGAAGAGGAAAGCAGCTGTGAAGCTGCGGACTTCGTACACACAGGGGTTGGTTGTCTCATCTTTGATGTCACCGTGAGCGAGAGCGATGACCCAGAAGAGGATGCCGAAGAAGAGCCAAGACAGGATGTAAGAGAGGGCAAAGATCAGGAACATCACCCTCCATCTGATCTCAACCAAGGTGGTGAAGATATCTGTCACAAACAGCAGCCACTCCTCGGGAACATGGCGGAACACAATGTCACAGTTGCCCTCTTTACGTACGTAGCGATATTTCTTACGTTGAGGTCCATTTTCAGTCTTCACACTGACGTCATCGGTAGGGCTCACACATTTATATTGTTTATGCATCTTCCAGAATCTGTAGGGAAGACAGTGAACAATATTTATTCGTCAGAATGTCAACACATAGATTTTTTGCCATGACGTTAAAGCCATTGTGTAAAATTTTTTAATTGTAGACAACATTGCTTTCTCTCACAGTGTTAATGTTTGATTCTACGACGAAGTGGCGCCGAAGTTGAAAGTTCGCTTTAAATAACAGTGACAAAATAACTGGTGCAGACCAGCAATTACTCAGTCATCTCTCACATTGCTCTGTTTCGTGGCAGATACTATTATTTCAGAGATATTCCATTACAATGGAATCATGAAAATTAGGGGTGTAATGATTCTGAAACTGAGATCAAGACCCGCAATACAAACATTGATACCGGAAGATGGAACCACATTAATGGAAGACAGGACCCTAACCGTAACTGGATTTTGAGATGTTCTCTCTATTCTACTTTTCAGAGACTGTTTTGGATGGCTAGATGTGGTTTTAAATCTTAGACACCAGCCCAGTTATGTGGGACCTATCCTGTTGTGTAAGTAATTGCAATTAACTGCCTTTGCCTTTTAACACAGGTGTAAACCAACCTTGATGAGAGTTCCAAATCAACAACTTTCTAACATTTGTCAGTTTGGACTGAGAGCTTTGCAGTTTGTTGTTTTGCAGTTCAACTGACCCAAAACTTTGCCTGAGAGAAGGTCATTAGAGCAGTGCAGGTCATGGCAGCAGGAGCAGACAGGCAACTCTGCCAACGAGACAGCTACTGAAAGCTGTCTGATCTCTGACCCACATGAGAATGCAGAAGTCCACATTTGCAACACAAATCCAACACGGAAATCCAGATTATGTGGTGGCTACAATTAGGTTTCTGCAACAATTTTAGGCACATTGTAGAAATAATCATTTCATGTTTTTCTTCTATTCCATATGCCTGAAGACTAAGATTGAAGATGTGCTGTTTTATGCACGAACGAAATGCATATATTGACTACAGTCAGTATGTGAGTTACAACTCTGTTTTATTGACTCTACTGCTAATTGACAAATAAGTGCACATGTTTCCATAGTTGGAAAAGGACAAAACAAGCAGAATTTAAATGAACCCTGATATATGAGAAAATATATGTACAGCAAACAGTAATTGGTTTAATTACGTAATGTTTTGATGCTGCACCTTCTACGCAGATCACTCATAAGACTCCCAAAGGGCTTTCCCTGTTGCTCTGATACAGAAAACAGACATCCACCTAAACCAGTCTTGCCCATTTTCCTTCTTTTTTTTTCCAGCCACTATTATTGGAGGAAACAATTAACAGTAGAGTCTTCCATGTATCAAAAACATTGGCAGATCACTGGAAATCTCCAACCTCTTGCTCTCCCTGCTGTTGCATGTAATATAAATACACAATGAGTTGCACTTTGTTGACAACAAGAACAGTAAGACAGGACCAAAGAAAAAAATCAATGACAGGGGAAAAAGTTATTTTTTTATTTGCTTTTTTCCGTTATGGGTTATACTCATAATTTCATTCACATGTTTTCTTTCATATTTTGTCTCCCATTTAGTTTTTTGTCTATGCTTTGATTGCTCTCAAAGTCTATTTTTAAGATAGAAATCTGGGAATGTTTACCATGTATGATTCTCTTTTTCCTGTCGCTTTGTACTGTGTCGATACATTTAATCACGATGGGGCAGTTGCCTGGAGATACAAAACCCTTCTGCTGCTGATGTGCCACTGTATGCCACTGATTTTTTTTCCTTTTATAATAAACCAGGAGCACTGAAGATGCTGTGTTAGAAATATCCCTCTACAAATCTTTTGTGTGCAGTGGCTGTAGTGGCACATTAAAGGTCAATTTTCTATGGTTTTATCAGTGTCGGACTTATGCATTAGTTAATTAAAACGGCTAACATTTTGTAAATTCATCAACCTGTGCAATCCAGAAGATTTCTAATTTTCTTTTAATTCTGCCTCAAAAAATCAGTTTAGTGGCTGGTGGTCCTTTGTTGGGCCACAGTAGGATGTCTTTTGCCCCAGTAATGTTAAACTATCTGTAAACATAGAATAATCTTTCCATGCAAAGGTTTGCTGCTGTCCAAAGCAATGGCCTAAGACCTTTTTTTGAGTGGGTGGAGGTCAAAGAACTGTCAGAGGGCCAATAAAGGAAGCGCCACAGGACTGAACTGGTCTAAGTTAGCAGGGGAAAAATGAATGTGGAAACTGGAATAGTGTCATGGTGCGATCACGGGCAGAGGAAGGATCAATCACAGCCAAACCACTGAGAGCATCCTCTACGCCCAAAACAAATGGGGTTTGAATCACCGCTATCTGACTGAGTGAACTGGGCTCCAGTCACAGACTCCACTTTCTCCTGGCTACAGCGAACGGCCCCACTGCCAGAGTATGGAACTCACTCCATGAGGTCATAGAAATAACGTCCTATTAGCTTCCCATAATCCCTTCCTAAATACCCTGATATGGCACCCTACTGGAAAACCAAGAGAAGCTGAGTTACTGTAGCATTCATGGGTTATCAGGCTGAAATCAAATCTCCAGCATATCCTTTACCAGGAGAATTAAAAGTCATGAGACATGCAGTCATCTGTACTTCCTCAGCAGCAACATCCAGGTTACTCAAAAGGTCACTTTAAGTCATTGCTGCTTTTTGCTGCTGCTTTGACTTTGAATGGTTCTGTAAATTTCAATCTCTACAACGAATTTCATCATCGATCAAATACTGAGGTCATTTTTGGCCTCATTTGTGGCTCTAAAGATGGCGATGTTGGGTTGGCTTGTCGTTCCACCACTTTGGTCCAGACTCAACAACTATCGGATGGATTGTCATGAAATTTCTACAAACATTCATGTTCCCAGAGGATATAATATAAAATAGGTAGATCTTTGAAATTTTACTGATGTAGTTGCAATATAATCAAATAAAATGCAAAATTGAATATCATAGTTCACAATGCTGTGATAGAGCTACTGTTCATGCAGTAGTTCTACTGTGCAGACGGATGTAATTTTATCTTTCTGCACTGCAGTCTGGATTAACATGATAATAATGACATAATAAAGACAAATGCCCAGGCCGTCCTTGAAGACTATGTCACTCTAACGAAGAAAGTGAAATAAATGAGAACTTAAGTCTGAGCCCTTCGCAGCATATTGATACAGACAGAAAAGTTAAAGTAAGATACTCTCATCTTGTTTCATGTGGTTGGCTGATAAACTCAACTTCAACACACACAATTAATCCACGATTAATTCAGCATTTTTTAACGTGATGTAACTGTTGTCGGAGTGAATGTGACCATAATAGCATCTGGAGAATAGGGCCATGAGAAGAGTTTTTAATCAGAACTGAATGTCTTTTAAATGGTTCAAGACAATGAGGAGGAATTTCCACCACATGCAGCTGACTTAATATATTGTATACCATTGTAATATATATTCTTTTATTTTTCCAGGAAATGATAGACAGTCATGATGCTAAACAAATAAAAAGAGCTAATAAGGAAGTCTTTTATATTCCCACTATATCAAGTGGTTTCATCTACAGCAGTACGGTTCAGACAGCCCTGATAGTTCCCTGTGTTGTGCCGACCCACTAGGTTGAGCTGTTTTCTCCACACTGACTCCACTCACTTGTGGAGCCTGAAACAAGCAGCTCTGTGTACAAAACAAGACAGCACACAAACCAAATACAACCAGAACACATGCTGACCTTTGGTAGGAAGTTTCCACTGCACTCTCTGTGAACAAAGCTGTGATACTTTATATTTTTGAGGTTTGTGTCATTTTTGTTTTTATAAGACAACATCAACAGTGTCTTTTTGTGTTCTAAAGTTAGACTAAAGGTCTGTCATCCACTGCTGACAATGGGAATCGAGGGATGAACTCTGGAAACAACTTGGGCAATTGGCTTGTTTCCTCTGCTGCTTGGGGCACTTACAACTCTATTACATGCTCACTTACTGCAAATTGCATTGTGCCACCCATCTGTGGTTCACTGGAACAGAACCGTGTACACGGATGGCTAGCCGTAGCTCTGCCCTGAGGCTTTCTGCCACCTCTAATGACCTTCAAAACTTCAGCGCCGCCAAATATTTCCAACCTTAACGACTCACTCAGCCTCACAATCGCTTGTCAAACGAACCCAGAAACAAGTGTCAGATCTGTTGCTGGAAGTTCTCCAAACGCCCGGTGGGCTGATTTTCTAAAAGACCAGGGTGCAGAGACTTCAGGTATCAAGTCAGGAGGTTGTGTCTTTCATTTTAGCAGTCTCTTCCTGACATTTAATGATTTATCCAACCTTCAAAGTACCAAGTGAACCAGAGCACACGTTTGGTTTTGTTTTGCTTAATCAGAAATAGCTTAACATTGCTTTTTTACAGAGGAAGCACTTGAAACCGGACGCCAGATTTAACCTTTATCGTAGGTTTCTCTTTACTTCGCTCTCTCTGTTCAGGGGTTCGTGTTTGATTTTATATTTGTGACACTGAATTTAAATGAGTCATTGGTTGGCTCTGTAACTGTTTAATGTCCTCCTGTATGGGTTTCTCTTGAGGACCAACGTGACCTTCAGAATCTCCATACTTCCCTGATTCACTGTTTAAAAGATCAATAGATGTGTATTTATGAAACAGTCAGTCCTGTTGTGTCAGCAGTGATGCCACCTCACACACCGACACCATGCTCTCCTTTGTAAACACCCCTCTTTTTTCTCTTTTTAATTCAAAGTATTTTTAAGAATGTTGTTTACAGTACGTCCAATATTAAGCTTTCCTTTCTCATGGTTCTAACTTTGTTCAAATTTCATTGTGAAACATAATCGCAGACATTTCTTAGCACCTTGACTACATCTTGTTTTTCAGTTTTTTTTTGTTTTTTTTAACCTTGCAGGCTTTGTATTTGTGCTCTTAATACTGTAGATCAGATTACTGATTGTTCTGCTGTCCACCACCTTTACTCACCTGTTGCCTCAGATTATTTTTCAACTCGGTGACACATTCAAACAACAAG